GAGGGGATTTGGCAAGGAAATGATCAGAGAAAAGGCAGAGGTCAGCTCTCCACATTAGTCATTCAGTTTCTACATTTCTTGTCATGCTTGTAAACCAACATCTGCAAAAAAACAAGGTGAAGAGTCAAAGTTGAGAGAGGAAGTTGCTTCAAAGCTCAGCTCATGCCCCCAGAAATCAGTAACATCAGGCAGGAGCTGCTCTCTGAAGGTGATGGGTTTGGAGGCAAGAACAAAGAAATTAAATGTGTGGAGCCCATGGAGAAAAATGCCCTGTTCAGCTCCTCTTGTCATCCTTGGCTGGGTCAATTAGCCACTCTTTATCCTCCTAACCAGCACAGCTGCACAGCCAGCCTCAGTGGAAATGGAATTGTGGGGAGAGTTTCTGTCCCACTCCACAGAACTGTCTGAAGGAAGAGAAGGGAGATGGGAGAGTGCTGATGTTGCAGAACAGATTCTGTCTTTGATTCAGCTCTCCACTTCCAGCAGAGCCATTTTCAGCCTTTGAATGTGCTCCATGTTCCTCCCCAGGTCCTGAATCTCCCATGCAGAGTGCAGGAATGTTGTTATTATTAGCTGGAACATTTACCCACTGCTCTGCCCCAACCCAGGAAGGGAAAGTGCTTGAGGAAGAGGATCAGAGAAGGAAAAATAGTGCACATCTAATGAAACCAAGCCATCAGGCCCTGTTCTGTGAGGGAGCTGGCACTGAATCAGGTAAGAGAAATTAATAAAAGTGCACATAAAACACTGCTGAGAGACAAGGATAGCTGTGCTGTGTTGCAGTGAATTCACCTCCTAAGGTCAGACAATAAAAGCATCACTGGGAAATAAAAGAATGTTGAATCAAAGCCTGAAAGCTGAAGGGGTTTAATACAAAGTGTATTCACATTAAGCACTGATTTAAAGGTGAAACCCTGCTCTTGAATACACCCAAAAGAACAGCATTTACTTCTTTGGTGACACAGAGACATGAAATTGGTCCTGGCTTGATACCTCTGCCAGCTCTTACCTGGCTGCAAGTCCTGAGGAGAACCCTTCCTCCCCTTCCTTCACCTTCCTCACAGACACAGCTGGGAAGTCTGGAATGTGCCCCCACCCTGGAAACTCCTTGCAGCCCCAGGAAAACACAGGAGCTACTCAGACCTGACCCCAGAGGGAAAAGTGTCAGCCTGGCACCTGAGCTCTCCTCAGGAGTGCTCTGAACCAGCGTGACCCACTGCTGTAACCAGTTGTTCCCAGTTCAGCAGGAGGCTGATGTGTCCCAGCTGTGCTGCACAGACCAGCTGGGTCCAGCTTAGCCAGGCTGGGGGAGCCAAAGAAATCTGTTTGTGGCTCTGCAGCATCACTCAGCTCGTGGAGCCCGCTGTAACGAGGACAGGAAATGTCTCTTTAGAGCTACAATTCAATTACCCTCCAAACAAAGCTGCCCCAAAGGCCCTGAAGCCCAGCAAGGCTCTGCATGGCTCCTCTCTGACGCCTTCACCTTGATGCCTTGTGAAGGCTGACCTAGAACGGAGGTTGGAGAGAGCTAAAGAATAAAGCTGGGATTTCTTAAAAGGATCTCCTCCATGGATCCACCTGGGGCAGCACAAGGGCCCAGCCAGGGCTGCACCCCAGGTGAACCCAAAATGGTCCCAAAATGAACCCAAGATGAACCAAAATGGTCCCAAAATGCACGAGCACTCACGGGGTGTCTCACTTTGATCAGCTCTGCTCCATTTGCAGATTGGAGTTAATTATCCAATTACAGCTTTAGCCCATGCAGTCACACCCTTCTTGTTTTTCTCTCTTCAGCCCACTTTGTGCTCTTGGGCTGAGATTTGGATCATTTGTCCTTGGTCCCCAGCTGGAGAAGGAATTGTTTTGTCTCCCCGCTCTGTGCAGAGAGCTCACCATCCCATAATGTGAAACTCAGAACTGCACACTAGAGCAGTAGAGAATCTGAAAAATACAAAAGCTAAAACCTGAAGCATCGATGCCAGTGCCCTGTGTTTTATAATGAAGTACTGATGGGCTTCTCCTGCTGAGCTGGGCTCCCCTTCCCCTGCAAACACCCAGCTCGCTGCATTCCACAGCTCTGCCCACAAACCTGGCAGCTCCTGAGCACACCCAGGGAAACCCAAGATTTGGGGACCTTCCTGCTGGGTGACAAAGCCATAAGGAGCTGGTGACATCCCCGACTGAAGCAGCATCACAAAACACAACCTGTCCTCCTGTGGGAGGCACAAAACCGTGAAGAAATGCAAAGTTGGACAAGTGAGGGGGCCCACAGAGATGAAAGCAGGAAATTGTGGCTCTGCAAACCCTCTGCCACCTTTGCATGAGGCAGAAAGAAAGGTCATGAACCGTGCTGGCAGCTCCAAAGCCTCTGGGAGATCTGCAGCAGCTGCTCTCCCACAACACCTGGCCCAAAATTCTGCCAGCTCCTTCACCTGGTGGGGACAGGTGGCTCCTGACCCTGAAGGAGGCATTTGCCAATTTTCTGTCCCACAGGGAGATGCCACAACCACGCCACAAAGCCAGGGCCATGCAGGCAGGCTCCTGCACAGGGCACTTTATTCAAAACGTGGACTGCAAATAAATTTAGCAGCAGACACGGCCAGGCTCCCATGGAAACCTCACAAAAAGCCAGCTGAGGTTTGGATGAGTTGAGTCTTGGCAGTCTTGGCTAATCCCTTAAGTGCCATCCAATTACTGCAAATGTGTTTGGCATCTGCTGCAGTGATTGCAAAGAATTAAATGGTCGATGGCACTCGCAGGAAATTACAAGTCACAGAGCCCTGTAATGCATTTAGGAGAAAAAAAAACATCTAAAAAGGAAAATAGCATTACCCACTGCAAGAGCTGACCTCCTTGAGAGCCATGAGGGACAAGAAAAGGCATTCAAATGATGAAGGAAGCTTAATTCAGAGAAGAAACTAGAAAAATAAAGGAGAGAAGGATTGTTTGTTATTTTTTCCACCAGGCAATATTGGTTAGGCCAGAGGAGACAGGAACTATTTTGTCTTCTGAAGGTCTGAACGAGAAATCTTTGTTTATTCTGCTGCTGTCCACAAACACACATTAGATCTGTGGGGTTATGGTCAACCAAACATGACAGAAATAAATAAAACCACCACAAAAATAGGAGACAGAGAAAGGAACATTACTATTTGTCCATCCTTGACTTCCTTTGGAATCCACAAAGGGGGGCCTGAGATCATTTCAGTGGAAGAACACAAGGACTGGCCAGGCATCTTCTTTCTCCAAACCCTCCAAATTGCAATTACTGATAACCTGCAGCTGCTAAATCACCAGGGTCAGTCTCTCAGATTAAAGAATTAAAGATTTCCCTGTGTCCAGCAGGGAAAGGGGAGCATTCCCTAGGATGAAATCCCTGAAAGAACAGGAGGCCTCTGCTTTAACTGCACCAGTACAAGAGTTCCACACAGAACCCTGAATATTCTCTGCTCTGCAGTGGCAAATATCCTCCCTCTGCTTCTGTCCCACAGTCAAACCCTGATTTCACTAAACTCAGAGGCAGAACAAAAGGTGCAGAATTTAACTCTGGGACTTGATTTCTTCTCTGTGCTCAGCAAACCCATCAGGATGTCTCATTTGTTGCTGCCCCAGGGAAGGTCCAGGCTGCCTGTGTGACCCAGGAGAACCTGAGGGTTCAGGTGGAACTCTCTGCTGGAGATATTTCCCCCTGGTTTTTGGAATTTTTTTTTGTTGTTTTGTTTTTTTGTTGTGGTTTTTTTTTTTTTTTTTTTTGAGGTTTTTTTTTTTTTTTTTTTTGAGGTTTTTTTTTTTTTTTTTTTTGAGGTTTTTTTTTTTTTTTTTTTTGAGGTTTTTTTTTTTTTTTTTTTTGAGGTTTTTTTTTTTTTTTTTTTTGAGGTTTTTTTTTTTTTTTTTTTTGAGGTTTTTTTTTTTTTTTTTTTTGAGGTTTTTTTTTTTTTTTTTTTTGAGGTTTTTTTTTTTTTTTTTTTTGGTTTTTTTTTTTTTTTCCCAGGGATCAGCAGAACAGCTCTTTAAGCTTTTTAAGAACAACGGGAAACACGAAAGGAACAAAACGCCCGCTGCTTTCCAGCAACTTTCTCAGGCTGCAGGAACCCAGTGCTGTGCTGCCACCAAGCTGCGTGCCCTGTCCCCAAGCCGAGTGACAGCTGCCACAGCCACACCGAAACCTGCCAAGCAGCGGCTGGAGCGGGCAGGAGAGCCGCGGGCACGGCAGCTGGATGTGCCCTGGGAATACCCGAAATAAATCCTCTTTTTACACGTGTATGGAATACATGAATGTAGCCGTGATATTTTATGAAAAATGCTTTTTTTTGTATTCCCTGCAGAGCTACACAACACAGGTGTATAAATTAATTTATTCTGCTGTCACAGCAACAACACAGGTGTATAAATTAAATTTCAGCTCACACAGGTGTAACACACACAGAGGGCTGTATTCTGTGCAGAATTACACAGCACAGGTGTATAAATTAATTTATTCTGCTGTCACAGTGACAACACAGGTGTAACACACACACAGCTGTATTCCCTGCAGAGTTACACAACACAGGTGTATAAATTAATTTATTCTGCTGTCGCAGTGACAACACAGGTATATAAATTAATTTTCAGTGTACACAGGTGTAACACACACAGCTTTATTCCCTGCAGAGTTACACAACACAGGTGTATAAATTAATTTTCAGTGTACACAGGTGTAACACACACAGCAGTATTCTCTGCAGAGCTACACAACACAGGTGTATAAATTAAATTTCAGCTCACACAGGTGTAACACACACAGAGGGCTGTATTCTGTGCAGAATTACACAGCACAGGTGTATAAATTAATTTATTCTGCTGTCGCAGTGACAACGCAGGTATATAAATTAATTTTCAGCGCACACAGGTGTAACATGGATGGCTGTATTCTGTGCAGAATTACACAGCACAGGTGTATAAATTAATTTATTCTGCTGTCGCAGTGACAACGCAGGTATATAAATTAATTTTCAGCGCACACAGGTGTAACATACAGGGCTGTATTCTGTGCAGAATTACACAGCACAGGTGTATAAATTAATTTATTCTGCTGTCGCAGCAACAACACAGGTGTATAAATTAATTTTCAGTGTACACAGGTGTAACACACACAGGGCTGTATTCCCTGCAGAGTTACACAACACAGGTGTATAAATTCATTTTCAGTGTACACAGGTGTAACACACACAGCTTTATATTCCCTGCAGTTACACAACACAGGTGTATAAATTAATTTATTCTGCCGTCGCAGCGATGTGTCTCAGTGTGGATGGAGCAGCGCCGGCACCAGACTCACAGAATCACGAGGCTGGAAGAGACCTCTAAGGCCATCGAGTCCACCCTGTGCCCCCACACCTCAACCGGACCACAGCACCCCGTGCCACATCCAGTCCTTTTTTAAACACACCCCGAGATGCTGATTCCACGCCTCCCTGGGAAGAGCATTCCAGTGCTGTATTATTCTTTCGGTGAATTTTTTTTTCCCTAACATCCAGCCTATGCTTTCCCTGCCGCAGCTGAGGCCGTGTCCTCTGGCTCTGTCGGTGCTGGAACACACCGAGCCCCGGCTCCCCCGGGAGCTGCGGGGTCCCCGCCGAGCGCCCCCGGCTCCCGGGGACCCCCGGGCAGGGTTTGTGCTCCAGCCCCGCACCGGCCACACCGAAACGCCCCGGGGCGGCTGAGTCCCGCACCAGCACCGCCGGGACACCGGGAATGACACCACCGGGAGCGACACCGGGACACGGCAGGACACCGGGAACGGGACACCGGGAGCGACAAAGGGACACGGCAGGACACCGGGAACGGGACATAGGGACACGGCGGGACACCGGGAACAGGACACAGGGAACGACACAGGGACACAGCAGGACACGGGGAGCGACAACACGGGGAGCGACAACACCGGGAGCGACAACACCGGGAGCGACATAGGGACACGGCGGGACACCGGGAACGCGACACCGGGAACGGGACACCGGGAGCGACAACACCGGGAGCGACATAGAGACATGGCGGGACACCGGGAACGGGACACCGGGAGCGACAACACCGGGAGCGACATAGAGACACGGCGGGACACGGGGAACGACACAGGGACACGGTGGGATACCGGGAACGGGACACCGGGACACCAGGAATGACAACACCGGGAGCGACACCGGGCAGGGGGCGTGTCCCGTGGGCGTGTCCTGTCAGTTGTCCCCGCCCTCGCGGTGCGGGCGCTCTCGCGCGCTCTCGCGACACCCGTTCGAACGGGCGGCGGGCGGGCTCCCTCAGAGGGCCCGGCCCGCCCGGCCCCGCCATGCCGCTGCGGCCGCGGCTGCTCCGCACCTACTCGCGGCGCGCCGGCTACCTGCGCATGCTGCCGCCGCCCGACCGATGGATCTCGCCGCCGCAGGACCGCAGGCGCCTCTTCAGCTCGACCTCCGCCGCCTCCAGCACCGCCTCCAGCGCGCTCTCCGCTTCCAGCGCCTGCTCCACCCCCTCGGACGACCCCGACTTCTCGCCGCCCGGCAAGCGCCTCCCGCAGGCCCTGGGTAAGCGCCCCGGCTGGGCCGCGCGGCTGCGGACCCGCAGGAAGGAGAACCGGGGCCCGGCCGGGAAGGAGAACCAGAAACCGGCCGGGAAGGAGAACCGGAAACCGGAGACCCGGGGGAGAGGGCAGGAGACCCGGGGCCGGGCAAAGGAGAAGCGGGAGGCGGCGGGGAAGAACCACCGCCGACAGCGGCTCGGCGCCCGGGGACAGCCCCCCGCCCCGCCGCCGCCGCCGCCGCCGCTCGCCCGTGAGCCTCAGCTCGCTCCTGCTCAGCACCACCATCGAGGGCGGCTCGGCGCTGGGCGACTCCTGCTCGCAGCACCGGCTGCCCCACGGCTCGCCCGAGGGCTGCTCCGGGCAGCGGCCGTCGCTGCTGGGTGCTGGTGAGGAGGTGCCTGAGTGGTTCCGGGCACAAGGCTTGGCTCGGAGCTGTGAGCCCCAGCCCGGGCTGCGGGGGTCCCGCCGTGTTCTGAGGTCGGCGGTGCGGGGACCCTGCCCGGCACAAGCTGCCCCGTCCCCAGTGAAAGCCCCAAGCAGTCCCCAGGGAGCGCTGCCGCCACTGGAGGGTGAGCCACAGCCCCCTGTGCCCTGTGACAGCGGCACTCGTGAGGTTCCCTCTCATCTCACGAGAGATTTGGCCAAAAGAGGCTCCAGCTGTCAGAGAGACTTAGTCAAGGAGTACCAGCTTGTGCCAGTGGTGGTCCTGGACCCTCTGGAAGTGCCAATGAGATTGAAGAGCATGAAACTCAACAAAAAGGCCGATGTTCAACCTGCCTGCTTGCAGCCAGGATCTCCCGTGGGCCACCAAGGAATCTTGGAGAAAAAGCACAAAAGGACCAAGGGTGTCCCTGGGGAGGGCAGCACCTGCAGGAAAGCTTGTATCAGTGGCTTCAGTGCCAGCCGCTGGGGCAGGCACACCCAGCTCAGGCCAAGAAGGCGCAAGAACAAAAGGCAGCAGCAGCCCAATAACTCCCTTTTCAGACTCCAGACAAGGCAAAAACGAGCTCGGAAGGGAGCTCTGGAGATGTCTGTAGGTGTCAGAAACAATGACTCTTCACTCCTCAATAACTCTTATTCCTGGGCTAGAGTTCGAGCCTCTCTGTCCTTCCATAAAAAGAAGAAAGTGACCACAGATGAGAGTTTCTGCAGCAGCATCCTCTGCACCCCTTCAGGGAAATCCCAGCTTTCGGGGTACCAAGCCAGCCTGTCTGCTGGGAAAGCTCAGGGCTGCTCCTGGTTTGCTTCCTCCATGGTCCTGCTGGCTCCCAGGGATTCCTCCTCTGTCCTGGAGCTGCTCCTTACAGATGCTGAGAAAGTGTTTGGAGAATGCAACCAGGAGGGGCCTATTGCTTTTGAGGAATGCATTCCTTTAAATAAGATGAAAGACTGCAAGAAAATTGGAGAAGGGGTGTTTGGAGAGGTGTTCCAGATTGACAGCGAGAGAGGACCTGTGGCCTTAAAAATAATTCCCATTGAGGGGACTGAAAAAGTAAATGGTGAAGCTCAGAAGAGCTTTGGGGAGATTCTGCCTGAGGTAATAATCTCAAAAGAGCTCAGTCTTCTGTCTGAGGGCTCTGTGAACAGAACTGTGGGGTTCATCAGCCTCTACTCTGTGCACTGTGTCCAGGGGGCCTATCCCAGGTATCTCCTGGAAGCCTGGGACAAATTCCACAAAGAAACAGGCTCAGAAAACGACCGGCCAGACTTTTTTGGGGCTCAGCAGCTCTTCATGGTGCTGGAGTTTGAGTTTGGAGGCCAGGACCTGGAGCGCATGAGGAGCAGCTTCTCCTCGGTGACATCAGCCAGGAGCATTCTGCACCAGGTGACCGCGTCCCTGGCCGTGGCAGAGCAGGAGCTGCACTTCGAGCACAGGGACCTGCACTGGGGGAACGTGCTGGTCAAAAGCACAGAGCTGAGAGAGCTGCACTACGTGCTGAATGGAGAAACACACTCCATCCCCACGGCTGGCATCCACGTCAACATCATCGACTACACCCTGTCCCGCCTGGAGAAGGACGGGCTCACCGTCTTCTGCGACCTCTCCACGGACCTGGAGCTCTTCCAAGGCACTGGGGACCACCAGTTTGACATCTACAGGCAGATGAAAGAGGAGAACTCCAACAGCTGGACTGACTACCACCCACACAGCAACGTCCTCTGGCTGCACTACCTGGCTGATAAACTTTTGAAAGCCATGAGCTACAAGAAGAAGGCATCAACTCCTGCCCTGAAGAAAATCAAGACGCAGCTCAGCAAGTTCCACAAGGAAGTGCTGACCTTTGGGTCTGCCCATGATGTTCTGCACCACAGCAGCCTCTTCCAGTGAGCAGGAGTCCAAAGACTGAGCCACTGGTGCTGCCTTTCTCCTCTGCTTTTTGTATGTGTTGGCACAATGAAGTGTTTTGATTGGCTCCCAATATTTTTTAATGTCCTAAAAAATCCCCTCCAATGTCTTCTGCTCTAAGATGTTTCCATACCTGCTGGTTTTGAGGGGTGCTGGAGAGGAGACAACAGATCTGACTTTGGAGAAGGGAGGGGAAAAGAGACTTCTTCAGGCTCAGTTAATGCTCTGAATTTTACATAAATTTTCTTACCATTTTAGCCTTAGATTATTAAAAGTTCTTTTCTTACTGTATTGTTTTTTTTACAGATTCTTTTCTTAAAGGTAAAAACTCTTCAGTTCTGGACAGTGAGGACAAGGGTGGAATCTTGTTGGCTCACTGGAGACAGAAGGGAAAATCCATCCTTTGATTTCATTTTGGCAAAATTTATACCTGGAATAAAAGTATAAAATGTAAATATGTGAAGTTTCTGTAAAGGGTTTTAAACCCACTAATCTGCACTAATCTTTTTTTTTTTTCCCCCTTTCTTAAGGACCAAGGAAGAGGTACCTGATTGTGGAAAAAAAGAAGACAAAGTACCTGTGTTCCTGATTTTTAATGGTTATATATAGCTGGTTGCTATCAGTTATAACTGATAGCAACTCAAATCTGTAACCTAGTGGTAGCACTGAAGCAATTCCATCCTTTATCTACAGAAGAAAATGCCCAAGGTAATAAATGTTCTTTAGCCCTGACTGCAGGTGGATCAGGTTGTTGCCATCTTGTTGCAGGGGTTTCGTACCTTCTTGGTGACTGCTCATGGACAGCTCTTCACAGCACTGACTCCTTCTTCTTCTCAGCACAGCCAGCAAACTCCATCCAACCTTCTGGACCAGCCAACTTACTCTTTTACTATACCTATTCTAATTGGATCCAGTTGTGGCTTATTAAGGGCAGCTCTGTTCCTAATTCTTGATAATTAGTGCAGCTGTAACTCCTTACCTTCACCACTATCTTTATTCTCTTACATTCTGTCTATCCACACCAGGTGCCCTAAACTGGAGGCTCCTACATTAAATCCCAATTCCCTGTTTTCAGGAAGTCTTTTGCTAACATTCTTGTTTATTAAAGAAACTGGGCCAAAGAGAACAATAAATCAAACTGAAGTGAAAGGTGAATTAAATTCTGATCCAATGACACAGATGCATTAAGAAATTGAGAGGCAGCATCATCAAATTCATTATAACTGCAATGTTCTCCATGCAGTCCAGTGAATAAATGTTAAATATTGCATCTCCAAGATTCATCTTGGACCCTCTCTTGGAGTCTCCTTTTTACAAACCCAGCGAGGAGACCCTGGGGTGGTTTTATTGTTCTGCCTTCCAGACACTGCAGAAAGTGACCTGACAATCTGCAGTGCTGCAAATTATTAAGATGGAAATTGTGCTGGAATGTTCCCAGGCATCCTCTCAACCTTTTTTTTTCCCCCTCTAATTGAATAAAGTCATGCTATGTAATTGAATGGTCTTAAAACCCACTTGGTAAGGCCTGCAGTGAATGCTTATCTGACATCAAGGAGTGTTCCTCAGTCACAATGGTGCTAATTTCATTTATGCTTTAAAAGAGAAAAAAAAAGATGGATGAAACCACGTTATTTTTGCCTGCCTTGGTGTTTTGTTTCTGATTTGAGAACTGATTTTGGCTGTACAGGAGGGGTGGGGCATTGGCAGGAATTAATGCCAGGAGAGGGGACAGCCCCCAGGGGGACCTGGTGCAGTAATTTGGAGATTCTGAAAGCTGAAACCTCAGAATGTTTCCCTGCAAACCAATTTGCTGATTTGTGAACATGTAGTAATTTTCATTAGTCAAAATGTAAAGCTTCTACCTCCCCCCAAAACTGGACATGAAATTGATATAAAAACCTTTGCTTTAAACTGTGCTTGCAAGGAAGTGCAGCTGCCAGAGCTGAGTCCTCATTTCCTTTTTTAAAGATGCTCTTTGATTAAAAAAAACACAGAAAAAAATATCATGTACTAATCAGCCCTCATAAATTTTAATGGGAGGATGGTGACAAAAAAGGAATTGGAATAGTAAATTTCCCCTAATCAAGTTAAATGCCCTGAACATGTTTTCATCTGAGTGAAAGCTTTACTTGGAACAGAGCTGGATTATATATTTCAGAGATCTGCTCTCCCTGCTGAGGAAAGAGGATTCCAGAACCCAGTTTGCCCCTTCAGAAAACACAAGTTTTTTAATAATCACCACACTGAAATCAGAGCCTTAAAGGGTGCTCCGTCTTTTACTGAAATAAGGAAGTTTGAGCAAAGCTAAAATTATCCTGAGAGAGGGAAAGATTTTTCACGTGGATCCAAAGGCTTTAGGAGAGTGAAAAGAAGAAGCCTGCTTTTGTGTAACTGGTAAATCAGATGGATTCCAGGCAGGAATTCTGGTGTTTCCAGGTCAAAGTGGATTTTGTGCTGAAGCCAGCAACCCTCATGTGCCAAATCTCTGAAAAATTTGCCTATTTTGATGGAGAAGACAGATAAAATATGGATTGCCCCGTGAATATTCTGTAACTCACCAGGGTGCTGTTAAAACATGTATTTTTTGATCATTCTTTTCTGGAAAAATCAGACATGAAGTGCAGGAATATGAAAATGATCTCTTGCCTTGTGAAGCTGAATGAGAAGGAAGAACAGCTCTGGCCTCAGTGTAGAGAGGATGCTCAGAGTATCATTCAGAGGCAGGAAAAAAGGGAAAATTGTAATTTCTGCCCAATTCTACAGTTCCAGACTGCAGCAGTTAATGGTGCTGCTGGTGCCCAGCAGGAGAGGAGGCTGCCAAGGGAGAAGGAATTCTCCTCAGAGCTGAATAAAAACACTGGGAAATTCAACTCGGCCTGGGACTGCTCCCATAAAACAAATTAGGTACAAATAGCCCAATAAAAGCTTGGGAGTCTTGAATCAGATAAATCCAGTATTTAGGCTCTCCTCCTAACAAGTGAAATGCTCCTTCCCCTCCCTGGAGCTCGTGGCAAGGTTTGTTTGGGTAGTAAATCACTTGGTGGCTGAGCTGGGTTTCCTCTCAGCACTTTGCTGAGAGCTCTGGGGCTGTTCTCCAAGCTCACCTCGACTGGCACCTTCCTAAAATTCAGATTTTTGGGGTGGTCTGGGAGCAGAGTTGTCACACAGAGTCATCTCCGCTGTCAGTGGCACTTTCGTGGTCACTTCAGTGTGGCCCCCACTGATCCTTCCTTGGTGCAGACCGAAAATGGGGTTGTATTTAATGAGAGCATGGAGCATCCTGCTTCTTGGAATTTGGGGGAATTGCTCCCTCCAAATTCTTTCACACACAGGACAATGCAGCAGCCCAATTAATTATGCAATATTCTTTAGGGTGTGTAGGAAAATGGTTCCTTTTGAGTCTCAAAGGAGACCCCTCCATGCTTTATGTAACATTTATCATTCAGGGGTGACTTTAGGCACTGTGGCACTTGTTCAGCTCCTCAGCCAGTCTGCAGGGTGGATTTTCACCATGATGCCTTCTGTCAAACTGAGCAGCTCTTTGCTGCAGTGCTCTGCTGTTCATCTGTTCCTCATGAAATGCCAGAACTGGGATTTTTAGGATGTTTATTGTTGTTTAAACCTCGGTCTGTGCTCTGGGATCTCCTGGGACAGCCCCAGCGATGAAGCACTCTATGAATGGGAGGTTGTTGAAGGATGAATTGCAGGGAAAGTCAAAAAACACCACTGAGGGATTGAAGAAAACGCCTTTTGCACAAAGAGGATGTTTTATATAAACTCTAAATGCAAAATCTGGAGAGTACAACTCCTCTGAGTCTCTGAATGTGATTGTCAAGGCAGATGAGCAGTGCAGATGGGCTTGTGGCTGCAGCCCCTGTGAGGGCACTGAGAGCAAACACAGATTAAACCATCCTCATTTTCCTAAGGTAGCAGGTTCAGAATGTCTTTACATGCACACAAACAAAATTCCCAACACCTCAATGGAGAATTGAAACTAAAAGACACTCTAGTGATGAGTTCAGCTCCCAGGAAAGGGTTTATAAGCAACAACAACAAAAAAAAATCTTCATTGTGGACGAGGTCTTGGTAAAGAAACTCCAGTTCTTTACCCCTGGATTGCCACAGGACAGTATTATTCTTTTTTTCTCCAGTGATAAGAAGTTTTTCTTGATTAAATATTCAAGCTGAGGAGCACAGCTTTGCAGAGATAAGGTTTATTCCTTTTTCTACTCAGCAGTAAATATCTCCTGCCTGTGGCTGATGTTCCTGGAGAAGTTCAACGATAATTAACAATTAGATGTTGTGTGCAGAGGTACTCAGCAATGCTGACCGACACTCCAGAATCTCATGAATTATTCTTAGGAAATAAATGTACAACAACATCAGAATCCCTGAGGCACTGCAGCCACAGTCATTAGTGCTCATTACTGCTCGGGGCTGAATGCTGCCCCCCCTTCTGTGTCCTCTGCTTTATGAACACCTAATTAAATATTTAATTGTGGTAAGGACTCCTAATTGCTACTAAAGCAGCAACACATCTCAACTTGACCAGAATTCCCAGTTTTTACCTTGCCAAGGCACTGTAATACTCAGATTATTGTATCAAAACACAATTTTGCTGTTTTGGAAAATGAGGATTCTCTCAGGGTTGAATCTCATGCTGGCGAGACAGGGGACAGCTGGTCTTGAGTTGGTGAAGAGCAGATCAGGAACAGAATCAAATATAAATTTGGGGCTGAAATATTACAGGAAAAATGTTTTAAGGAAGCCTGGCAGCAAGAACAAGAACTGCTCAGTGTTTCCATGCTGTGTCACCTGGAGCAGGCTGGCCTATTTACAGAAGTTTCTGCTGGGAATGTTCAGAACACACAAAATCCCAAGAGCCTGAAGGAGCAGACAGCCAAAATACACCAATATGGGCAGAGCTTCAGGATTAAACGTGGTATTTATGTTTCCATGAGATAAACGCATTATCTAGCAGTTCCAATTCTTTATCTAGAGTTTGTTTTCAAATCCAAAATGCAAAGAGAAAATCAAACCCATCTTCCCTGCCTCTGTCTGTGTGAACTCCACAGGTCACTCAGCTGACAGGGGTGTGATTGAAAATGAGGGACAGTATGTAAATAAATTAAATTTTGTATAAATAAGCTAAATTATCTGTGCTGAACTCCAGACATCAAGGTCTTCTCAGATCTTCATCTGTGTTAATTCATGTTCACTATCTCGTGCTTGTCCAAGTCTTTTAGACATACAAGGCAAAACCCTTTGTAACTTGGACTGAAGGGTTTATATTTTAGATAATTTCTATCACTGGGAAATATTTGTTTTTTTTAATGTCCCTCTGATGCTGAATTAAAAATAGAATAATGACACATTGCATGGAACACAGATTCTATATTTGTCTTTGAAGCATTTCCCCAGCACACTAAAAAACAACATTTATTACCTACCAGAGCACAATCACGTCCTCCAGAGATCCTGCAATGTCCTGGAGACCATCAGGGAAATCACAGATTGTGCCAAGGAGAGGTCACCTGCACCTTGAAGTGGCTTTTCAAGGTGCATGAACCAGCCTAGAAAACATCAGAGAAGGATTTATAGCAAAAGTAGCACTCTTGCATTAAAAAAAAAAAAAAATACATCTTACTGTATGGTCTTTTCTTAAATGAGCAGGAACTGAGGGGGTTCCCAGCCTGCTCCAGAGCAGGATCCACCCCTGTCCTCACCCTGTGACAGGACAAAGCCACGAGAGGGTGCCCGTTGTGTGAGCCCTGGTGTGCCCAGGCTGCTGCTTCTGCTCCCAAGCACCCTGAGCAAATTCCAGCAGAGCACCAAAGGGTTTCCTGCTGGGCTGTCCAGAGTGACACAATTCACTTTTATCCTGGATATTGTCACGGGTCCTGTAGGATCTCTTGTTTTCTGCCTGGCCCCAGGAGCAAAGGGGACATGCAGAAAACTCCCCAGGCACATTTGTGCCAAGGGCTGCACCAACAAATCCCTGCACACAGCTAAAAATCAGGATTTTACCTCACTGGGACAAAAGGGACAGAATAACTTTATTTCTTTATTTCTCTCCTATTTTCTACTGACCAAGCCAGGAGCTCTGGCTGCAGCCTGCAGTCCTCTACCATACAGGGAGAGCACATCCAGCAGGGAGCACAAAGCAGGAATGTTTTAAATGTTTTATTTGTCACTGCTCAGGCATGGTTGGAAAATCCCCAGCACGGAGTGTTTACGCTGCCAGTGTTTTCACCTCTGTCTCCAGGCAATGGACGTAAACCCTTCCCTGTCCCCCCAACCTGCACCCAACAGCTCCAGCAAGGAGAGCATCTGTCAGCCCAGCAGATGGGCACAGCTCAGATCCCAAATAAAACCCAACCTGTGCTCCAGAAGGAGACAAGCAGCCCTTTCCCTGGAATTCTCTATATATAGCTTTGTAGAATTAGTGTCCTTTGCAGCAGTAAGGGCAATTTTTAGAACAAAACATCACATATCTACTTATATGTGGATCGTTTCCTATTATTTATTTTATTCCAGCCATCCTCAGGGACAGATCCTGTAACCAGTTTAGCAGCAGCAAAATCATTATTCAACAATCTGACAGCAGAAAAAGTAATAGCACAGCTGGTAACCTCCCTCCCTGTGACCCCTGAGAGTGGAACAGAAACACAGCACAGCCCAGTTGGCTGAATTTTTTCCCACTCTTTTTCCAAATTCCATGATTCCTTCCAGGGTATTTGCTGCAGAGGTAAAGCACTGCAAGCTTGGGATGAACAAAAGGAAATGGCTCTGGCACTCTGCAGACTCATTCTTGTCCTAATGGATGAAGGTTTTCATCCAGAGGATTCCAAAATAGCAGAATTATTTTTTTCTGCAATGATGGAGTTCCTGACTTCAGTGCTGGAGACGTGAACAACAACAAAACCAACACTGTCAGCTGGGGATGGCTCTTCTGCCCAGTGAAACAGAGACATGGTTCTCTTTGCCCAGAAAATCTACATTTTCCAAGGATTCTCAGAAAAGAGGACAACAAATTCCACGGGCACTTTCCAGCTACCTCCAACTCTCCTCTCTGTGTGTTCAACATTTGACAACCGTGCTCACAGACCAGACATGCTGTAACACTCCACATGCCACAAATCTGAGCTGAAAAAAAAAAATATTATGGCAAAAGAGGAAGCAAGAAAAACCCCTTTGCACTCAGATTTAGTTCTGTTCCACCCCCAAGGCAGCCACAGCCACATTTTCTGAGCCTTTGCCCGCTCCTGTCTGGCCCCAGGTTTGGGGGTTTTTTTGTGCTGCAGAAGCAAATGTGAGGCTGCAAAGTGCAAGTTTTCTCTTTTTTTTAATGAAAAAAATTAAAATTCTTGGTTTAGTTTTTTTATTTTAATTTTTCTTTTAGTCCCAGAGCAAGAAATGAAATTTCTTGAGAACAGCAAAGCCCAAAAAGTGAGAGGCAGCCCCAGGCAGAGTCCAGCTGCAAACTCCACCAGCTGCAGCCCTTCAGCCCCAGCCCTGGGCAGCTCCTGGGATTCACACAAAGCATCTGGTCTTTGTCGGGGCCCTGGGGCTGTCACAGTTCAAAGGCTCCCTCTGCGAGCTCCAGAGGCAATGGAAAATATGTTCAGTTGCAAGTGGGGTCACAGGGAGATGGAGAGGGAGGACTCAGCTCGTGGATCCTGCTCCCTGTGCTGGCTCCAGCTTCAGAGCAGCCTTTGGAAAAACAGGGGGGGGAAACTCCCCAGAATGTGCAAAGCATCTGAAGAACAAGGGAGGTTTGATTCCACCTCTGCCCCTGAGGAAAACAGGGAATTGGGAACCACAGAGAGCAGAGATGGAGTTCCTTTTGAGGAAAATTGCTCTGTGAGGTGGGGAGAACACAAAGCTTTCCACAGAGGGCACGGGGGGCAAGGAGCAGGCAAAGTGTGCTGGGGTAAAGGAGGGCTTTGGATGCCCAGGGTTCATCTCTCACCTGCCAGGAGCTGAGGAATTCTGAGCAAAGCACACCCAGAGGGTTTGAACAGCCCCAGAGCTGCACTGGGAGCTGCTGGTGGCTTTTCATGGCAGGGCTGGGCCCCCAGAGCCTCTGTGCTTCAGAGAGAAGAGGGAAACTGCAGCTGCTCCTCCACTGCCATTGGTGAGAGGTTTTTTAGTTTATCCCTAAAAACCTCCCCTGTGCACAGGAAAGGTTCTCAGTGGGGTTCACCTGTCAGGGGGAGAAGGGAGAGGACAGCTCAGCTGTTGAGAAGTTCTTGTGTAAGTGACTGAAGGATTTCCTGACAAAACATTGTCATCTCTTAAGAGTGGACCCCAAAATTCTCTGGGGCCTCTTAACCATTATCATCCCTGACATTGCTGGGCTGGGGTGTGACTGGGGAGCTCTGGGGTTGCCAAAGCCCTGCCTCACAGCAGAACATGCCTGGTGCAGATCAAAAGACAAATGAGCACTGCCAAGCTACAAAAGAGAAGCAGGACCAAGGAAGGGCTGAAGGGGAAGGTGATGCTGAAAGCTGCCAGTGCCCACAGCTTCCCCAAACTACCAGCAAGGTTATTTATTGAGAGTCCAGACAGGGATGGCAGATCTGATCCTGCCTTTCTTTACAATCTCCAAGTGTCCCAGCAGAGCACCAAGCACAGCAACAGATTTATCATGGGCCAGAGGAGCCTCTGCACTATGAGCACCTTGCCAGATCTTGGGAACACTTAGGACAAAGCCATAGATGGACAAAGCAGCTGAAGGCTTCACAAAGCAAGAAAACAACAGAAGGTGGAGCAAGAAAAGTCAGTTCCCACTCAGAGTCCCAGAGCAGTGAGGCTGGAGGGGGAATTGCCCAGCACAGGGGGAAGAACTCACTGAAGTGCAGGGAATGAGCTTTAAAACAAAATTTTGCTGCCTGTCCCATGCATGCAGTGAGGATTAAGATGGTGTCCAAAAGGAAAAGCTCCAAGGCTCACTCTGAGTGGAATTGAGACAGAGCTCAGGTTGCATGGCTCATCTCACTGAAGGGAGGGTGCTGCAGCTTTCCTGGGATTCTCACCTACCTTGCCCTGGGCTGGAAGGTGCATCCAGGGCAGCAGCAGCTGCTCCAGGCTCAGGTGTGGCTGCACAAACTGACATGAGGCCACGAAAAACAAGAGTGAACTCCCACAGCAGTAATCAGGAATCTGATAAGAACTTACAGCCCACACTGATAACACCTTCTCTCCCTTGCTGAGAAAGGAAGAAGCTCTAAAAGCACATCCAAAAATGAACATTTTCAATTAAGTACACTTGCTGTATTGTTTACAGAAAATTTCCATGTTATTACTGTTAAATAGAGTGAAAAGTGAGACAGCTCATTTTTATCTCTTTTCCCACAGTTTGCAGCAGGCTGCCCCTCCTGCCTGAAGCTGGGTGCAAGTCACAAAGTCACAAAAAGGAGCAAGGTCCTCGCAGATATTTGCAGCAAGACAGGATGCCCATCATGAGCAACAGGAAGCAAAAACCACACACAAAGTGTTGGCCCATCAGTCTCTCAGGGGCCACGAGCAGGATTCTGCTGCTGTTTATTACAGACAAAGCAACCCATGAAATGTCCCAGAAATCCACCAGCGAAGCTTCAGCTCCAGGAAATCCACACCACTTTCTGTGCTTTTAGGGAAAGAATTTCACTCTGGAAGTGTGAAATGGGGATCCTGCTGTGGATTAACCTCGGAGCCCTGCAGGTGCTGCACAGGGTGAGGGTTTGTCCACTCACATCTCACACCAGCACAGAGACAACTCCACCCTCAGCAACTTTTAGGACTCTACAACACTCTTTATTCCAAAGCACTTCAGTGCAGTCCCTTGTGACAAGAGAACAGGCTGGGCCATCCTCAGCCAGGTGATTCCATGAGCATTATCCATGAGCATCATCCATGAGCACCATCCCTGCTCAGCTCAGAGAGCTCTGCCTCCCCCACTGCCCCAGGAGCACAGCAAGAAGAAAGTGTCAGGCGGAGAAAAGTCAAGTAAAAACAGTTTCTTCAGAGGAAATGAATCATTGAAGTGCACGACAAGGCTGGAAGCCACAGGCTGAACCACAGTCCTCCACGAAATGCACTTTGCTGCTGACAATGCCTTCAGTTCTTCCAGCTGCTGGGGGAGAGCAGCTCCCCTGAAGAGGAGGCAGGTTCAGAGAGCTGTCAAAGCTGCCGGGGCTGTGCCTGCAGAGGCAGCATCTCTGTGCCTGCTGCCTGGGGCTGCAGCAGGGCCAGCTGCTCCGGGGCAGCTGCTCGGGCTGCTTTTTGGGCTGGCTGTCTCCAGGAGCTGGTGTCTGCAGCAGGGACACAGGAACAGCCCCTCATCAGCAGGAAGCTGACAAAGGGACCCGGCTTTAGAAGGGGGAAGGCTCAGGGAGCACCCAACACACACACACACACACCACAGAATGTTTTAAGCACTGCAGCCTCCCCAGCCCTGGGAAACTGGCACCCAGGAGGAATCTACACTGGAGGTTGTGCCCAAACCCACTGGAGCTCCTGACCAGGCTGTGCCAGGCTGAACAAAACATTTCTAACAGGGAAACAGCTCTGGTTTCCAGAGAGATCCTTCCCAGCTCTACCAAGGGAAGCAAACAAAGGTGTCAGGCAGAATCTGACAGCATTGCCAGAGTTAATGCCCAAATTCAGGCTCTGAAAGCCCTGTGATTTTAACATCTGAGCCTAAATTTTACTTTTCTTAGGAAAAGCATCACATATTTGGGCTACTGAGCCAAAAATAAGAGCAGCCCTTGCTTTTCCTCAGCAGCATTTCCTGCCCATTTCTCCCAGAGCTGAATAGGAATGGCATCTCCTTCATCCTCAGTTTGTTCCCAAAGTCTGGCCAGCCCCAGACCTAGACTAAATCTTTATTTTCTCAGCTCACAGGGGATGCTGCTGTGGGGAAGCAATTTCAAGCTGGCCTGCCTGGAATGCCAAAGACATAACAACATGCCAAGAGCAGTTTGCTGAGCAGGAAGCTAAAAGGATACTGCAGACTTTTCTTCATGATTTAATTTACCTTCTGGATTTATTTCTGAATCACTGGTGTTCCCAGGTTCTTCCTTCAGAACTCCCACATCCTTTGCCCAATCTGCCCATTTAATTTCCTCTACTCTGGAGAGACAAAATGCAAGAAGACACTGATGCCTGGAATGCAGCAGCTCAAGCCAGATCTCTTTGTTCTGCAGCCTCCCAGCCCAGCTCATCCTGCCAACACCACCCTGATGGTTTGGCTGCAGCAGCAGCACCTTACTGAGCTTTTTTTTTTTTTTTAGCAAAGATCATCTGTAATCAAAGCTCCATGAGGTAAAATATCCTCTCCCCCTGCATATTGTCCACTGGTCTGGTTGGTTTCAAATTCTCCAGCTCAGGGAATGGTTTTTAATGGATCAGTTAATTCTCAAACCTCCAGCATGGCAATCACCAACAAATTTGGATGTAGCCAGGAGTGTGAGGCTGAGCCAGTGCTGAAATTCCCTCCAGGGTTCCCAGGCTGTGACCCCACTGGGGCTGGAGTGTGAGGGGGGAATGGTGACCTGTCTTACCTGAAACACCACCTCTCATCTTTCTTATTGAGCCCCACTGACATGAAGCAGCCAGACCTCCTCTTCCCACCCTGGCGCCACAGCCAGGCCTTCTCGATCTCCAGAATAGCAATTGCCCTCTGGAAGAGCAAAACCCACGTCAGAGAGGAACCAGGCACACACAGAGCCCATTCCCCTCAGAAACTGCTTGGGAATGGAGAATCCCCAGGGAACCCAACCCCAAAATGCTCCTGAAGGACTGCCTCAGGTTACCTGTGCAGAGAGCTGTAAGTACACCTCAAATACACCTAAAATACACCTAAAAATGCACCTAAAATTTGGGTGCAAATACACCTAAAATGCCACCTAAACTTTGGGTGCAAATACACCTAAAAATGCAGCTAAACTTTGGGTGCAAATACACCTAAAAATGCACTGCCAGGGTGACAGCTTCATGTGAAAGGCACAATAACAGCTGAGCTAAGGACAGACATGTGGCATTCACATTTTCTGGAAAAATCCCTTCACCCAGGATTCTTCTCCTGGGAAGCTGAGAAGCCTCAGAGAAAAAGGAAAACAATAATTATCTCATTTGCTTCTCCTGTGTTTTGCTCCTTTGGAACATATTTGGAGATCATTTATCCAACAGGTGACTGTTCCCTTGGTTTCTGCTGAATAATTTCTGTGAATTATTTTGTCTCTTTGGCCAACCAGTGCCAAGCTGTGTCAGACTCTGGAAAGAGTCACGAGTTTTCATTGTTATCTTTTTAGCCTTCTGTCTGTATCCTTTCTGTATTCTTTAGTATAGCATAGTTTAGTATTCTTTAATATAATATAGCATCATAAAATTATAAATCAAGCTTCTGAGAACATGGAGCCAGACTCATCATTCCTTCTTCTGTATCATTTCTGTATTCTTTAGTATAACATAGTTTAGTATTCTTTGATATAATATAGCATCATAAAATAATAAATCAGCCTTCTGAGAACATGGAGCCAGACTCATCATTCCTCCCTGCCACGAGGGCACCCTGCAAACACCACACAGGCAGGCACTGGCAGCTCTGCCCTGAGAGCCCAGCAGGGCTGTGGGCCTCACCTGCAGCTTCCAGACGCTCTTGCTGTAGCCAGAAATATCCGTGACAGTCTCGCTCATGAGGGCGATCAGCATGTTCAGCAGCAGGATGTAGGTGAGGATGACGAACAGCAGCAGCAGCAGCATGACAAAGTACCTGAACCTGGCGTGCTCCTGGAAATCCAGGTCCCCCATGCCGATGGTGATCTTGAAGAGCTCCAGGGAGACGCTGAGCAGCCCCCCGTACATGGCGTGGCTGCCCGAGCTCTCCAGGTGAGCCAGGGACTTGTTCTGGGACACCGAGGGGGCATCGCCCATCAGCGTCACCAGGGCTGCGAGGAAAACACGAGCTGAGTCCCCGGGACAGGGATTTTTGCAGCTCAGCCCACAGATAACCCAGAGAGGGCTCACCTGCAGCGAAGCCGAAGAGGAAGATCATGTAAACCAGGAGGAAGCGCAGCAGGTCTCTCATGATGGTCTGAAACACAAACAGGGGAAGTGCTGTGCTTCGTCTCACATGAAATCACCGGGGTGAGCTCACACATCACAAACCAGCCCTCAGGAACACTGACTGCAAGGTTTCCTCCTTTTATCCAGAGTAAAAAGCTGCTAATATATGTTAAATTACTTCCACAGGTAAATAACATCGTTGGCAGGTTAATCTGACAGTTTTTAGTTCTTTGAAGCAAATAAATATCCTGTTGGCTCCCACTATGACTGTTTCCAAATTGTTTCAACACACACACCCCTCTCCTTTCCACCTCCACTGGCTTTACACAAATGGTGACCAGAATTCTTCCCTGGCACCTCATTTCACCCCTGCTTTGCCTTTCCAGTCCCAGGTTCCTCTGTGGATCTGGAAACACTTCTCAGGCCCAGCTGAGCATCTCCAGGGAGCCCACACTGGTTTCCAGTGATGTTTGGAGTGGTTTTTGGCACACAGGCATCAGCTGCTGCCACCTGGGATGCTCAGCGCTGCCAAACGAGTGATTTCCTGCAGCTGCAGATGAAGACACTCACCTAACCTCATCCTGCAGCACCTGTGCTTCCACAGGACACCAATCCCAGCTCCTCCCAGCCCAAAGCCTTTCCCTGCAGAGGCTTTTGCCCAGCCCTGACCTTCTGGATCATGACGCTGTAGATGCCGGTGCGCTGGAAGCCGCGGGTGTAGTAGAGGGTGTTGACCCAGCCCAGGAGCAGGGAGAACACCATCACTGCCACGTAGTTCTCTGAGCTGGCTCCGTACAGCACTGCTGAGAGCAGCAGGGAGAAGGCCTGGATGAAGCTGGAGAGGAAACAAAAGGAAGTGGCAGTGGCTCACCTCAGCAAGAAGGGCTCCTGCAGGTCTGCTCTGCAATAAAAGAGGTTTGGGGAGGCCGAGAGGAGCACACAGAGCCCAGCCAGCAACAAAAAATGGCTCAGGACGAGAGGCAGCAGCTGAGAGGAGCACACAGAGCCCAGCCAGCAGCAAGAAAAGGCTCAGGATGAGAGGCAGCAGCAGGGGTGCAAAGAGAGGGGCAGAGGGTCTGGGTTTGCTGCTCCCCAGCCCTGTGGCAGTGCTGGGGCAGCTCAGCTGCACAAAGCAGCAGCTCCAAGCTGAGGCTGTGGCAGAGCCCAGGACTCACATCAGGATCTCGATGCAGCTGTCAGAGCACATGGTCTTCAGGGACTGGCGCCTCCTCCGCAGGTACAGGCTCTGGGGGAAAAGCCAGTGCTCCATTCACCAGAGCCAGCCATGGGAGAGAGGCAGGCCTGCCTGCCCTGCCCTGCCCCAGGCAAAGCTCTGCTCCTTGTGCTCCCCCTTTCATCTCCAAGATGCCCCATTTCATCCCTCCCAGATGAAAAAAAGCCTTTATTTATAAAGGGCAAGGATAAACAAGGGCTGAATCATGGCTCAGCCCAGTTCTTTATTAATAGCCTGCATTAAATGCCAGGGATGCATTTTAATGCCATAAATCGCAGAAGTCTCTCAGAATTATTTGCTGTTGTGGAACTGTGATCCCCCTCGCCCAGCAACCTGGCTTGTGCTGCCACTGCCAGACCACAGTGAGTGTCCCAGAGCAGGATTCCCTCCTGCACATCCTGATGTCAGGAGAACACATCCTTTTTTTTTTTCCCCTTTTTTCCCGTTTGACCATGAAACCAGACAAGAGATCCCCCTACCTGAGCAAAGATCAGATAAACGCCTCCTAACAAGATAATGATCAGTCCAGAGACCCAGAGGAAGCCTCCAGCTGTGAACTCCACTGGGAAGGAAGGCTGCAAGACAAAACCAAAACCACCCAAAGCAGTGGAGACGGGCAGAGGCAGTGATGGCAACTTTTAAACCCTGCTCCATCCATCCAGACAAAAAGACTGGGCCTACCTTCACCCTTAAGGGCTGATAGTATGCAATGGCTGTGAAGATGATCATGAATGACAGGTAGGAGGCAAAGCTGAAGTAGAACCTCTTGGAAGCAAAAGTTTCCCATTTTTGCTGGAGCAGTTTGTTCAGCGGCTCCAAAACCACCATCTTGTACCGGTTCTGTGGGGAAACAAGCGAGCAAAGTGCACCTGGGTGCCAGCAGGAATGGGAATTCACCAGAGGATGGTGTTTTTAAGGGCTGGAGCTGTGTGGATTCAGCTGGGGAGTCGTTAAGGGGTAATTCAGTCAGGTGTTTTAGTGTGAAATATTGCATAGAGGTCACTTCATTGAGGTATTTGAACAAACCGAGGCTTAAGACAACCAAAGGATCAAAATTTCTCTCAAATTATGAATGGTCAGAGCCATACCAAGCAGCCTCCAAACAACAAAATCTGCAAACACCCCCACGAATCACTCCTTTTTTCACAGAAACCACCACCTGAAAGCCCACATTCACGTGAAACGCTGCAATTACAGAAATTTTCACATTTCCACCTGAAAGCCCACGTTCACGTGAAACGCCGCAATTACAGAGCGGCACCACAAAAAAGTCCAGAAGAAGCCTGTGTGGGGAGCCTCACCGGGGTGTCACTGCTGTAGGCCAGGATCTCCAGCACAGAGTTCTCCTCGAAGCTGTCCAGGGAGGACAGGTCGTACAGGGACACGTGGATGGGGCCGTAGGTCCACTCGGTGAACTTGCGGGACAGGTGCCGGTAGCCGGGCTCCAGGATCTCCCTCTGGATGATGTGCCTGAAGATCTGACAGCAGCACAAGCACGTTCCTGTGCTGCACGTGCAGGAGGACACCCAAAGCAGCACGGCTGGCTCTGTGGCTCAGCCAGCAGCTGGGGATGGATAAAAGCAGGGAAGCAACCCAGGAGTGGGGCGGGTTTCAGCCTAGGGAGAGGGGACAGGGCAGGGACACTGAGGCTCTGCAGGACACAGCTGAGTGGCTCGGAGGTGCCCTCCTGTCGCCATGATATTTCCTGAAAAATCCCTTTGCCAGGATTTTTTTTCTCCTGAGATGCCTCAGAGGAAAAGAAAACCAACAATTATCTGCTGCTGTGGGATGCAACAGGTGCACCTTTGATTGGCCCATGTAGGTTGTTTCTAATTAATGCCCAATCAGTCAGCTGGCTTGGACTCTGAGAGTCACCAGCTTTTGTTATCATTCCTTTCTTTTCCAGCCTTCTGAAGGATCCTTTCTATTCTTTTTAGTACAGTTTTATGCTATAACTATAACTAAACTTAATGCTATATTTTATGCTATAAAATATACTATGCATAAACTATGCTATAGTTTATGCTATAACTAAACTTAATATATTATATTATATGCTAAACTTTCAGTATAGCCTATAATAGAATAGAATATTGTAACGTAATGCAATGTAATATAATAAATCAGCCTTCTGAAACACAGAGACAAGGTTCTCACCTCTTCCCTCACCCTGGGACCCTCGAACACCCCCCACCCTCCTTTGTGGTCCCCTGTGGCCCTGGCCCTGCCAGCAGCATCAGCACAGCTTGGCTGCGAGAAGCTCCAGCCCCAAACCCCACTGGACACCAAATAAGCCTGCAAATCCCACCATCCCTGGGATGATGCTCCTCAGCATCCCCGGGCTCCGCTCCGGCCGTGCCCACCTCCACTTTGCCAGTCTTGGCAGCCAGCTGCAGGGGATTCAAGCCGTCGTAGTTGACGATCTCCTCCAGTTTGCAGGCGGGGTCCAGCTTGACGCCCGCCTTCAGGATCTCCACGTAGGTGGAGCTCACGAACTTGGTGTTCTCCTCGGTGTCGTCCGCGATCATCACCAGGGCGTGCAGCACCGTGTTGCCCTGGGTGTCCTGCTCCTGCAGCCGGGCTTTCTGGTGGGGGTTGTTCAAGAGGTAATCCACCACATCCAGCTGGTTGGTGCAGGCAGCCAGGGAGAGGGGAAGCTCACCTGAGGGGATGGGCACACAGCATTTGGAGGGGAGGAGTGAAGGGGTGAAAGAGGAGTCAAGAAAGGGGGGAAAAGGCAATGCTAGAAAAATATGTTAAATATATAAAAACATATAAAATATATTTAAATATATTAAAATATCTAGAGAAAAATTAAATATATATAAATATTAAATATATCTAGAAATATTTAAGATATATAAAATATAAAAGTATATAATATTATAATATATAAATACATATAAATATATAAAAACATATAAAGATTCTATAAGAATTATATAAAATTGTATAACAATTATATAGAAATATAGAAAAATTATATAGAAATTATGTAGAAATTGCCCAGAATTTTATCACTGAAACACAGAACAGGTTCTGCCTCAGTGTCTCTGGATTCTGAAAGGCTTTTACAATAAACAATTACTCTGTTTCTGGGGCAGCTGAAGCACTTTCCCGCATTTCAAACTGATCTCTCAAATCTGAACTAGCCAAGTTTTGCTGTCTGAATCCACTCAGGATTAAAGACATAAACCCAAGGATGATGGAAATGCAGTGAACACCCCAGATATGAAAGGATTCTGCCTTTTAGATAAGCCAAGGGCTGGATTAAAGGGCACTGAAGATGGCACCAGAGGGGCAAACCCACCTAGAATTAGTGGCACCACACACAGCATGGCAATAAAAACCCCAAACTCACCAAAATAAAAGTAAACTCCTTCTTTCTTCTTCCTGAAGAACTCGCCGTGGGCTCTGGCGTGGACATCAGCCCCGTTCTCCACCAGCAGCTTCACCATCTCCAGGCTCCTCTTCTCGATGGCAATGTGCAGCGCGGTCTGGCCTGGGGCACAGCAAACCCTGTCACCCTGTGCCACTCCGGGGGACAGCAGCGATGTCACCAGGGCTGGCTGCAGCCTCAGGCCGGGCTGGCAGCTGCGGGCACCGTCAGAAATTCAGCAATTCCCCTGCCTGGCACTGAGATCCCCAGCGGCCACGGGAGGGTTGAGGCTCAGCCAGACAGAGCTCATTTAACAGCCACAGACCACTTCATTTTTACAAGTGCTTTTTATACTTTCCCGAGTAAATAGTCTCACTTCTTGGGCTATTAAAAGCATGTATCATTGCTGTTTTACAGAGCAAGGAGGGCTTAACTCGAGGCTGGAGGAGATGCAGCAGCAGAATTAGAAATAAAAGGTCAGTGTGCTGAGTGTGACTGCTCCAGTTCCCCTCTTTTTCCTTTTTCCTGCTCATCTCACAGGAATCCTTCCTTACCTCTGTAGAAACAGTCAGAGCAGGACACATTGACCAGCGGCCTGGGGTTCTGTGTCTTTTGGTCTATTTCCAGCAGGACCGGGATTGTGTCATTCTTCCCGTTTTTTAAGTTCAGCAGGGCTTTCATTAAGCAGGTTTTCCCAGTCTTTGCATCTGGCAGGGAGAGAGGATTGATGGGTCGTGGGTGTGCTTTGCACACAGCTGTAGTGCTTGATTCAGGGATCAAATATAATCTTCATTTTAAAGGTTTTTATCAGTATTTTTAGCAGCCCTAAGGCAAAAACCTTAGGATGTATTCAATTAATGACATTCTCCACCTTGGGGTAAATATAAGGAAAATAAAAGAAGACAGAGAAGGTGGAGAAAGCAAAAAACCAGGAGCACATTCCCCTGCTCCCCCTGTGAATAACAAACCATTCCAGGGGCAGGGATGTACCTGTGTACTCGGAATTGGTGAGGAATTTGGAGTTCCTCCTTAAGTACTCCAGCAAACCATCCAGAGCCTGGGGGCTGCCCCGGACCACGGCGCTGAACAGCCGGTCCCTGTCAAAGCGATTCGGGTCCTTCTGGCTGCGGGACAAAGGCAGCAGTCAGGAATTCTGGGGGGGATTCTGGAGAGGGGAGTTCTGGGGAGCAGGAACGAGCCACGAGCTCCGGTGGGACAGAGGAAGGAAGGAAGGAGACGGAGGAGGTTTTGTTGGGAGGGGAAAAAAAAAAAAAAAAACCAACACTCAAATGTTTTATTTTTGAGTCAAGGGAAAAACAGAGACAGCTATTTCCCAGAATTCTGCTAAGTGGCTGCTCTTTCCATCAGCTGGAGCTGTTCCCAGACCCAGCCTGATGTGCAGCCCTGGCAGGAATCCAGAGCAGGGGGAGCAGCCCAGGATGGCTGCAGGACCAGGCTCAGGCCCATCCCTGGGGGGATTTAGTATGGACCCTCTCAGTGTGGACTTGGGAAAATCCATATGCTCCCACCAGGCCGGGTCAGTGTGGATCACCTGGATCAACCCAAACTGGTCAAACACCCCCCAGTTACTCACTTGCTGACAAGTCCTGGCCGATAATTCAGATTAATCTTGATTTTAGGGGCAAAGTCACTGCTCTCCTTCTGATAAGGCGTCTCCAAGGGCTGTGGCTCTCCTTTCCTTCCATGTCCTGACCTTTCTTCCTTTTTGCTCGGGGCAGGTTTCTCTTCCTGGATGCTGTCATCTGTCTCCAGCAATCCTATGAGCCTGTTCCTCTGAGCTGGGCCTGGCTGCCCGTTTGTGAACTTATCCATTGCCAGGAGAGATGGTCCTGCAGACCACAAAGAGGTTCCCTGGGGGGGCACTAAACCTGCAAGGAGGCATGGGGAGAATTAACACGATTTCTTCACAAACTCCAAAGGCTTTTGGACACAAAGTTCATTCCCAGGTTGACCACGGGTCCCTCGGGAGGGAGATTTGATAAAACTCTGCATGGAGGAGCAGTATTTGAACAAAGGATCAGGGTCCTAAGTGGGGTTCCAGTGGAGGAGAGGTTTAGAAGCAGCTCATGAAGCAAAGGCAACTCTGCAGCACATCTGAACCCCCTGTGTGGGATGACCTCACCTGTTGGCAGCAGCACAGGTTCCTGACATAAAAGGCAAGGAAAGTGGCTCTTTAGGAGCGTGGGATCGTTGTTCTTGTCTCAGGGCAGCCAGCACAGGCACAGGCTGCTCACCAAGTGGCCAAAAAGATAAAGGTTCACTGGGGAACAGAGATGAGTTTGCCCACAGCCCCTGCTGGGAAGCTTTTGGCTGTCCAGACAGAGAAAATCACCTGCACAAACTGTCTGGCATTTCATCCTTGATGGGCAAAATGAGTGGGATCTCCTCAATATTTGGAGCTGCTGGTTATCCATGGGAGCACAGAACTGGAGCTCCCAGCTCCAGGACAAGCACAGGGCACAGCAGAGCCCCCAGCCTGCCCCCTTCTCTCCTCTGAGGCTTCCTGAGCTCAGCTTTGGCTCTTCGGACGCCTCTCTCTGTGTCTCTCAGGCCACACCCAAGGCACAGTGCCCAGGGCAGCGTTTCACAGGGTTTGGGAGGCAGAAATTGCACCCACAGTCACCAACCTGCGGCACAGCTCTGGTCAGCAGCTCCTTCTCATTCCCAGGCGCTCCCTCCAAAGGGTTAACAGGATTCCTCTGGAGAGAAATCTCCCTTGCTGGGGCTGCAGCCACACTCCATAGCCTGCACCAGCAAATGGACACACAACAAGAATTTTGGCTTAGGTTGGGGTGTGAAAAAACACAGATCTGGGCAGAAAACAGCCAGAAAACATCTTATGCAGCTGAGAGCAAAAATCCAAGGGCTGGTTGGGAGACAAACCGTAGTGATAACTGAGACACTCGCTTAGTCTGCGCCCTGGTGACAAACATTCCCCTGCACACACCCTTCAACCCGCTCAGACTCGCTGCCCTCCCCACAGCACTTACTGGGACGTGGGCTGAATCCTTTCGGAGGATATTCGCACTTCCACAACAGTCTGCTCGTGCTTTTCTGTCTTCCTCTCCCCAAAATCATTCCTCAGCTGCAGTTTCCATCTCTCCACAGCGCCCAGGAGAGTTTTTTACTGTCGGTCTTGCACAGACAGAGCGTCTGGGTTAAAAGCAAGAGCAAAATGGTCCTGTAAAAAAAGGACCCTCGGAGGTGCCCACCCGCTCTGGGGAGCACGGGGAGCACTCTCTGCTTGCCAGCCCCACTTGCACACCCCAAAAACCGAGTTCTTCCCCCGGAGCCCTCACCAAGCCCTGCTGCCAGAAGAGCTCAGCGCTTACCAGAAGTTGCTGCAAGCTCCACCCGAGAGCTGATCTGACAAGGAGTCCCAAGGAGTCCTTCAGAGGGGACACAACCTCCCGGCAGGAGCCGAGCCAAGCAGCAAGAAGTGTTAATGGGCACCAAGGCAGACCCAAAGTGATTTCCATCCATGGGTGGGAAGCCGCGCAGGGAAGCCCATGCTCATCCCAGCAGCCTGGCAGTGGCACAGCATGGGGCTCCTGGCTGGTCCATGAGAGAATCCAAGGCTCCTGTGAGAAGGAGCACCCCCAGAGCCTCGTGATTTACCCAACTGTGTGGCTTTTTGCAGAGTGAAGGAGGCTTGCACAGGAAATGACTGGCTGGATTTCTCAGCGAAGGGGAGAGCCAATGAGTGCAGTGCTCTTATATGGGAAAGCTGGCTGCCTACTGCAAACTCAGGATGCTTAACCCCTGCCTGCACACAGCCCCTGCCTCCCCCGAGCCCCACAAGGCTCCCCAGGAGCAGCACAAGCGCTGGGAGGAGCTGAGGCCAAGCTTGGTGTGGAAGGCAGCCCCAGGGACACGGGCTGAGAGTGCCACCAGGAGCAGGGGCAGCTGCTCCTCAGGGCTCAGGGCACTGCCCAGAGCAGCCCCGGGTGCTCCCCAACTCTCAGGGCACCGGTTACTGCATCTGCTCCCGGCCCTGGGTGTGCTCCAAAGGGGAAAAGATCGGCAGGGGCTTCCCCTGGGAGCAGGGATGTCCCCCCACCCCAGAGCTGACTGTTCTTGGGCCCACACACCCCAAAAATGCCTCACTTTCCCTTCCCAGAGCAGAGGAAGCAGAGGACAGCAGGGTCAGGTCCTGCAGGGTGACCCCAGCACCCCCTGGCCCACAGCCTTCCCCCAGGAATGCTGCTCCCACCTGAGATCCCCCAGGAATTCTGCTCTCACCTCAGCTCCCCCAGGAATGCTGCTCCCACCTGAGATCCCCCAGGAATGCTGCTCCCAGCTGAGCTCCTGGTGCTCCCCAAAGCCATTGATGTCACCCGGAGCCCAGCTGGGAAATGTCACTAATGAAAAAAACAGTGAAGAGCCCTTCCCATCCACACCTCACCAGCTGGGGCACGTTCCAGGAGGAATCCCAGAAGAGAGGTGGCCCAAAAGCAGGAGCAGGGCTGTCCCAGCAGGACACACTGAGCTCTGGCTGTGCCTTCCTCCTTCCAAACCTGCCCCGGGGCAGAGCAGAGCCTGGAGCAGCCCTCGGCCCCAGGATGCTGGGACACCTCCTGGCAGCGTGGCTGTCACCCACAGACACTGTCCCAGCCGGCTTTGAGTCAGCTGTGAGACCCCTCCCCATAAACACAGCAATCAGTGGCACCCCCTCCCCATAAATACCAATCAATGGCACCCCCTCCCTATAGGTACCAATAAATGGCACCCCCTTCCTATAAATACCAATAAATGGCACCCCCTCCCCATAAATACCAATGGCACCTCTCCCTGTAGGTACCCCAATAAATGGCACAGGGCCTTTCCCTCCTCATGGTTGTAGGAGATTTCAAGTTTTCAAGTTGATATCCTGTGTTTCAAAATGAAGCAGGTCTGGCGACCACACAAAGCTGCTTTACAATCCATGATGGATTCTTAATGATTAATTAAGACCCACAGAACAGCCTAAAAAGGAGAGATAAATGCAAGATCAGGTCTGATCTCTCCAAGCCCTCCCTCATTCCAGCCTTGCACTGATCCAGTTTGCTTTAGCTGTGTTTCACTTTATTCACTGTGATGCCAGCAGAGCTTCAGGAGCTCAGCTCACACTCACAGGTTTAAATCCTTTTGGGCTCCTTCTGCAGCTGTCCTGGGAGGCATCCCAGCCCTGCAGCCAAGGGATGAAATCAGCCCTCAGGAGTGCACCAAAACACAGCTCCCCCTGCACATCTGCTGCTGGCATCCTGCAGGGAGCAGGGGAATGTGCAGCTTGCTGGGAAAGGAATCGCTGCCAGCTGGGAGCTCACCCAGGGCAGCCAGGAGAAAAGCAGCACTTTAATTCCACCTGCCCTCAGCCTGGCTTTCCCTCTTGCTTTTTGGGGTTTTTGTGTGGAGGAACGTGGAGGAGTCTCACAATTGATTGTTTTACCCATGAAATGTGTCCGAGCTGCTCCTGTGGAAAGCTGGCAAGGGAGAAGTCAAACTGCCAAGTGAAATCTCAAATCAAGTGTTATTCGTTCAAATTATATAATATTATAATTTATTCATTAATAATAAAAGTGATCAAATATATTAATCTATTATATATGTTGTATATTATATAAATTATATTATCTATTCTATGTCTATATTGTAATTATTGATGAGTAATTCACAGCAGAAAAATCAATGACTGAAACATGCAAAAGGAAGCGTGAGGATGATGGTGGTGTTTGGAAAAGATGCAAACAAGAGCATTTCCTGAAATATATATTCTGTGTTCACCTAAGTTCCCATTTTTACCAAATACTGAAAAACATGATAGTCCTGTGTTTGATGCCATGTTTTCAGTATGCTGTAAATAGATGTTCAAAGTCACTTGTAATTTAGCTGCAGGATTGATCTGTGGCCACTCAGGTGTAGCAGCTCAAAATCGTCTTCACAGGATGAGGAAAACCTGCAATAATGACATGCAAGGGTGGAGAATTAAAATTCTCTCAAATACAGCAGGTAGGCCAGGAAAGGAAAAAATAGTTTCTTTTAAAGGTGTATTTTCACACTTGGGAAAATATCAAGTGTTTTTGCAAGGCCTTTTTTTTTTTTTAATTGTAACTGTTATGTAAAAGCCACACTGAAATGATGAATTTGAGCAGCTTCATTTCTTAGTTACAGATGGAAATCAGTACCTCAGCCAGTGCCCAATCTGAAACATAAATATTCTTAAATATAATCCCTCGTCAGAACTTGTCTGATAGCCCAGGGAACCCAATCAATCTACACACGAGTGTTTCTGGAACTGCAAGTCCCACTTCATAACATTTACAGGCTGCAATCGATATCCTTGGAGGGAAGCACCCAGCTCTCTCAGCCCTAAAATGGAAATATTTCCTACGTGATGTATCCCTTTCTGCAGGACCACAGCCTGCAGGAATGCTCTGCTGACAATCAGAGAGCAGCAAAGAGGAAATCCAGATGGAAAATAATCTGTTTGTGGAGGAACAGTGACATCCCGTGGCCACCGAGGCGGCCGAATTCCTGCTGCTTTTGAAACGGCCAAATTGGGCAAAAATCTTAAAAAACACCCCTGGCTGCTGTGGGCAAGGCTGCAGAAATACGGAGGGATTTATTCCCAATATTCCCAATCCTATAGGATTATGTTGTGGGGCAGCTGAGAAAGGGGAAAACCCCAAATGTACCCAAGCCCAGTATAATGGGTTATTTCATTTCTCTTTTTATAGGTGTAAGTAATTTTTTTAAAGCACAGAAGACAAAACCCCAAAATCTTGGCTGGTTTTTCTTTCTTGTCTTTTTGGGGTTTTAATGTTTTTAAAGGGAGAACAGACGAGAAATTAACTGAAGCAATAGGAAGAAAACTCAAAGGCCAGTCACAAAACTCAGATTACAGCAGGATTAAAAGATGTTACCAAAATCTCTTGTAAATATGGGAGCTTTAAGATTATTCTAACAGCATAGAGATTCTGGCTAAAACAGACTGAATTATTATTTTAGTTATGAATAGCTGTCTCTAAGCAGGCTTTTGAGGTACCACCATATTGTAGGAGTAAAAAAAAGTGTATTTTAATAACATCAATTATTTGTGTTGCCTGACAGCTTCCTTTGTTTTATGCTAATAACTTCGGTGTAAACACTGCATGTTCTACAAATCCATATTCACATTTCCTTGTGATTCATACACGTTTCCTTAATTTACTTAAATTGCAAGGATTTTTTTCTTATTAATGAAGAAATCCTTGCAGTCATTTCCTGGAGCAGCCCGGGTACCAGGGGAGGCAGCTCAGCTGGGCTCAGGCCAAAAACCAGAGCAGAGGGACCTGTGCAGAGCTCTCCTGTCACCTGCCCGGGGTCCCTGTCCCTGCAGGGCACCCCAAACCCCAGCAGGGAGATCAGGAATGTCCATTTATTCCATACCCACCCCAAACCCCAGCAGGGAGGTCAGGAATGTCAATTTATTCCATACCTACCCCAAACACCAGCATGGAGATCAGGAATGTCAATTTATTCCATACCTACCCCAAACCCCAGCAGGGAGATCAGGAATGTCAATTTATTCCATACCTACCCCAAACACCAGCAGGGAGATCAGGAATGTCAATTTATTCCATACCTACCCCAAACACCAGCAGGGAGATCAGGAATGTCAATTTATTCCATACCTACCCCAAACACCAGCAGGGAGATCAGGAATATCAATTTATTCCATACCTACCCCAAACCCCAGCAGGGAGATCAGGAATGTCAGATTATTCACTGCCCACCCCAAACCCCAATAGGGAAGTCAGGAATGTCAATTTATTCCATACCTACCCCAAACCCCCACAGAAATGTCAGGAATGTTGTTGGACTGAGCTCTTTTTTGACTTACTCTTCTCCTATTTTTAGTCTCATTTGAAGGGTGAGACAATACAGATGTTGCATACTATACAAACCTTCTGTCAAATTTAAAAAACTTCCTACAAATCTATTTCCCACAGAATGTCAGTTTATTCAGTGCTCACCCCAAACCCCAGCAGGAAGATCACTTTATTTGTGTTTATTCACTTTATTAATGTTTATTCAATTTATTCAGTGGGGCTGTGAGCTGCTCAGGGAGTCCAGGCAGGGCTGAAGACACCCAGCCCAGAGAGGCAGGAATGGTTGGGGCTGGAAGGGACATTTGGGGGCCACCCTGAGGTGATTGCCCCAAATAATTTCCTTTATGGCCTTTCAGGCCCTCACAGAAGTGCCTGCACAGCCCCTCTGGGCACCCTGCCGGGTGGTCACACTGCAAAAAGCACAAAAGCAAAACAGCAAGTGCAGGAAAACTCAAACTAAGGGAATTCTCTTGTGGCAGAGACAGCAAATATTTACAGAACTTTGTATTTCTGCAAGCTCAGCAGACAGAAAAACAAGTCCTGCTCCTAAAGAAAAAAAAAAAATCTAGTAATGGATGTAAGCCTCAAACCCACACTGAACTTGCAGTGTGGGGTTTCCTGTGAGAACAGCAACTTTTTGGTTGTATTTCCCACGAAGTGCAGCACTTACCACAGATGCCCAGTGCTGAAACCCAGCAGGAACAAACCCGAGTTCCCGGGACAGCAGCTCCGCAGGGATGACAGTGGCCGAGGTGGCACCGAAGGGGTTTGGGGACAGGGCAGCAGCACGGCTGTGCCCCCTCCCAAGGTGAGCAGCTGCCAGACCCCAACAGCTGAGGACACCGACAGACACCCCACAAGCTGGGAGTGTTTTTGGGGAAGGGCAGATGGAAATTGCATCCCCTTCTGGACAACCAACTGCAGTGGAACCACCCCAACCCCACTTGTGCGAGTTCCCTTAACCCACCCATAAAAAACAAACCCTAACCGAGACTGTAGTGGGAACTCCGTCCCTTTCTGGCATTGGTGGATTCTGTAGAATTTACCAAACCAGGCAGCTCTTACACTGCTCAGTCACCCACTGCCATCTCCCGTCCTCCAGCTGCTTGCCTGCAAAAATCAGCCTCTGCTGGTCTGGGGGAATTCCCTCCTTATCCTGGATCTTGGCCTTTACGTTCTCAATGGTGTCACTGGGCTCCACCTCAAGGGTGATGGTCTTGCCAGTCAGGGTTTTCACGAAGATCTGCATGCCACCTCTCAGGCGCAGCACCAGGTGCAGGGTGGATTCTTTCTGGATGTTATAATCAGACAGGGTGCGACCATCCTCCAGCTGCTTCCCTGCAAAGATCAGCCTCTGCTGGTCAGGAGGGATACCTTCCTTATCTTGGATCTTGGCCTTCACGTTCTCAATGGTGTCACTGGGCTCCACCTCAAGGGTGATGGTCTTGCCAGTCAGGGTCTTCACAAAGATCTGCATGTTGACCTGCAAGACGTGCAAGTGCGTCAGCTATAGCCGCTTAGTCAAGTAAAGCCTTCAGTAAATCCAAAACAAAGGAATTACCGTTGCTATTCCCCATCAAAGTTTTTTACTTGGGTTAGAAGAAACGCGAAATTAAAAGGTAATTTTCCAGTGGGACTAACTAGATCTGGTTTTGAGGCAAGGTGATTACCGTTGCTATTCCCCATCAATTGAAGTTTTTTACTTGGGTTATAAGAAACGCGAAATTAAAAGATAATTTTCCAGTGGGACTAACTAGATCTGGTTTTGAGGCAAGGTCTGCTGAGTTCTTTAAACAGATTACTCTCGTTACAGGACCTGCAGCCCAGCCCTCCTTTATTTCCGCAGTGCAGCAATGCGGCACCGGAGCCCCCAGATCCCCCTCACCTCCGGCAGGGCAGCACCGGACCCCCACGGCCCGCCCGAGGCAGCGATGCGGCAGCGCAGCCCCGAGCCGCCCGCAGTGCGGCAGCGGGGGGAGCGCTCGGCCCGCCCCGCGGACCCGCCCTGCGGCAGCGCCGCCGCTCCCCCGCCCCGGTAGTGACTCACAGCCGCCTTCCGGCAGCAACCGCGCGGCCCGCGCCATCTTCCCCGCAAGGAGGCCTCCTCCCCAGGCCAGCCCTGGCCTGAGCCCCCCCTCACGGCCGACCCAGCTCTCACCGACGCGGTTCGGAGCGCTACGCAACGCTGCGCAGCTCCGCCGCCCGCTCCCTCCGTTACCCTGCTGCACACCGCCCGGCCCGGTCCTGCCCAGAGCACCTGGCCCGCCTTCCCCTCCCCGCACCCCCAATTCCCCCAGCGCACTCACGTCTGCGGCCCTGAGCGAAAAATGCGTAAAGTTTCCAGCGGCGCTAAACCTCGGATCTGCCGAGTGACGCACACCCGCCCTTATTTATAGTGCTTGTGGCCACGCAGGCCCCGCCCACCAAAACTAACGTGTCCATCCGCCTCCCAAAGTAGTCCCCAGGAAAAGATCCCTGCTGTGGGGAGCACTCGCCTTTTCCCCGCTCCAATCCCTCTTCCGCAGGCAAAGGGGTCCCAGAGTTTCAGCGAGGGGGATCAGACCCTACAAAATCGGCAAATTTCTGAGGGTGCGGATGGATCTGAGACCGTTTTTCGCCGCGGCGCTGCGACCAGGCGTTGGTGGGAAGACCGGGAAGTCTGGCGGTGATTGGTGGGGCGGACCGCAGAGCGGGCGCTGATTGGCTGCTCGGCAGGGGCAGTTGGCGAGGGGCGGGGGCGGCGGGGGCAGGGAAAGCTCTGGAAGGTTCGGCGCTGCTCGGCGCTGATTGGTTCGCGGTGAGGTCACGCTGTTGCTGAGGGGGAGCCGCCTAGCGGGGCAGATTTCGGCCGGGGGGGAGCTGCGGCCATGAGGGCACAGGGAGGGGGATTATGATGGGGGGTGGGATTAATGATGGCCATAGGAACGATACTGGGGCTTCTTTAGCTCCTGCCTGGATCCCAGCAGTGCTGAGGGAACAGCCTAGCACAGACTTGGGGGACAAGTGCCCTGAAAAAAGGGGGGTGACCCTTGGTGCCAGTGTTTTATGCCCCACTGCGGCCTCTGACCAGCCCTTTCCCCAAGATGGAGGAAAAAAATGGCATTTTTTTTTCCATGGAAAAGCCCAGGACAGGTTGCAGGGCTGGTCCTGGCCTATAAAGCAGAGAGAAAAAGCAGAAGTGAGTTAGCAGGGTTGGAAGAACAGCATAATCCAGGAGGATTATGACAAACAGGAGGTTGGTGGCTCCTGGGTGCGACACGAGCGCGTCCCCTCACGCGGCCCAGCTCCGAGCTGCCCTGGAACTGGCTGGAGCTGGCTGAACAGGTAATTAATTCTCTTGATGTGAGCCTGCAAAACAAGCCCTGGGTTGAAATGCTGACATTTGAAATTCAAATGGTTGTTTACTCGCCTCCAGAACAGGAAGCTTTGGTCGGTTATGAAGCAGGCTCCGTCTGTGAGCTGATGTGGAAACGTGCCTCGGGTTAATTAAACTTCATTATACCTTTCAGACTGGCTCTGAACTCATTTTGTATTGTATTAAAGATGGAGTGCACAAAATCCAAGATGTTTTTTGTGTTTTTTCAACAGCTTTATCTGCTGTTCCTTCAGTGAAGCCAGATGACCTTGTTAAATCTCCACTCACAAAGCATCAGCACGTGTCTGACTGGCAAGGTTCACTACAGAGTTGCTCTATTTCCCTCTAAAAAACCCTCAAACCCAGACAAAAATACAAAACCACAAAAAAAAAAAAAAAAACCAAAAAAAAAAAAAAAAAAAAAAAAAAAAAAAGGCAAAGAAAACAAAAAACCCCAACAACAAAATCCGTTTGCTTTCCTTTCTCCTAACAGGGTTTCTTGCACCTCCTGGTTTACAGTAAAAAGGAAATAAATCATCCTAACAATAATTACTCAAAATGCAGGAACAGGAAGAGGGAAAAATGGTAACTGGAAAGTTCAGACAGCTCCATAGCTATGACCAACCTTGGAAATATTATTTTGGCTACATAAATTTAGGACAAAAGGCAGAGTTGGGCAATGTCACGATGGTTTGCTCTGTGCTGCCAGTTCTGCTCAGTGTTTCTCCACGGGTTTTGTCTGGTGGTGCCAAGGTGGCTGAAGGTTTGCTCCAAGGCTGGCCTGTGCTTGTTGCATATCCCAGGCACTCTTCCCAGAGGAAAGGCCACAAGTGATTCATATTTACAAATACGAAAGGCCACATCTGTAAAGCTGGAGATTAATGTAAAGCCTGGACAGTGTTAAAGCACATCACGTATTTATTAAGGATTTTAGGGTGCATATTTGTCTTTTTAACGTTGCTCTAAATGGAGAAAGAGGAATTTCTGTAATTTTTCTTTCCTTTCTGTGTAAACCAGAAAGCACAGGAGCCCTCTCTTGTTTTTCTTTTTCCTAAATATGGCTAAATCTATGGTGTGGCTGCACAAAGCAATGCATTTAACAAACATTCTACTCTGCCTCTAGTAGCTCTTGGTGAATAAAAACCATCGAGCAGCTGACTCTGAACTGTATATAAATAAATGCAAAGCTGAAAACCCCAGAAATCTGTATCTTGTGACTGCTCTGACCACAGGTGGCTACAGCCTTTGCCAGGGCACGGGGCCTGCAGTCGGGAACACACATTTCTTTTCAAAAGTGGGTCACTGGGCAGTGGTACAGAGCTACCTACTTTCAGGAGAGAAGAATCTGGGGTCAGGGAAATGTTTCCAAGGAATCTGTACATTCTGGAACACAAGCTGGGTCTGGTTTTTATGTAGGCTAATGTCCTAGCAACGAGGTGTCACTTTTACATGAGGCAATCTGTTTATCTTTAGCTACCAGGTTTAGCCTGGGACAGCCAGCCAGGCCATCACAGGGTGTTTGGCAAGTCAAGTTACTCTTCTTTGTTCAGACAAAAATAGGGCTGCTTGCCACAGGCAAACAAAATATAAATATATATATATATATATTTAACATATTCCTATCTCATAACATTACTCACACCTGCCTCTCACTGTGTATGATGCAGTATAATTACATTTACAGTTGTGGAGATAAATATTGTCTCCCTGTAGAAGTGCAGGAAGGTCCAGGCTTGGCTCAAGTTCCACCCACGAGACAAACAGACCCGTGGCATGTCACTGCTTGTCCCCAAGCTGCCAGCCTGGAGGGTTACACAAATAGTGAGTCAGAATTCAAAGTACTGTGAGATTGACTGTGATATTCTGAGATTACCAAAAAAAGACAACTCCCTCGGTTTTGTTTTTATAGCTTTATGCTAAAAATAAATTCACTAAACAAAGTTTTTAACAAGCTACCGACTTCGGGCGCTGAAAGAGGAAAAAGTTTAAGAAAAACAAATAGATTGGCAGTAAAAAGATGAAAATTAGTGATACTCCTCTGTCTCCCTGTTTGTCTAAAGTGTATTTTAGCTTTGTAGGACACATGGGATTCAGCTTTCAGATCTGTGCTGCCACGATAAACAGGCTTGGGCAGCTCTGGGTGACCACAGGGACATGTGACAGCTGTGCTGGAAGGAGCCGTCCAAAGGGGATTTTGTAAAGGCTGACATCCCAGGTTTGTGCCTGCGTGGTGTGCCAGTGAAAGCAACAGCTTCAGCTAATAACTGGGTCTGTTCTGCAGCTCCTTGTCTGCATCTCTCCCTCTGCCTCCTGCCCGGGAATGGTTTGGATGCCATCCAAGCTGCAGTGCAGGGAGGGAGCTGCTTTGTTCACCTCCTCTGCTGCCTCTGAGCACGTTCAGCTTGTGATTTCTGGGGTGAGGTTTTCCAGCAAAACAGCAGAGAAGTTCCTTGGGAAACAGGCAGACAGAAGAAGAAATGGCCGAAGAAACAAGTCCTAAACCGCTGTTAATCATTGTTAGTATGTTCAACAGAATTTCTGTAACAGTGAACAAAAACAAACTCTGTCAAGGCCGTTCTGAGCAGCCCGGGGGTGTCACCTCCTACATTTTGTTTTCAGATCCAGCTTGGGTCCTTTGATGGTGAGGAAAACGTCTGGAATGTTTCCCCCTCCACCACAGGGAGACTAAAACCCAAGCACTGCCATTTTCCCCCCTGAACAAACCACGTACTTTGAACCACCTCAGTTTTTTTAAGCGTGCTGTCAGCTGTACAGAACTCCTAGTTCTCTGCTTATGAGATATAAAAAACATCCACAGTTCCTAATTCTCTTTCACCCACCAGCATGTAGCTGCTTTGGGGATAAAAATGCTCTCGCAGGCAGAATTTCAAGGCTGGCTGCGAGCCAGGGCTGCAGAGCTGAGTCATTGTTATACAAGCAGAGCTGAGTGGCACAGAGCAGCCCCTTTGTACTTTAACACTGAACACGTCAGCTGCTGCTGGCCTTTCAGCATCACAAGACACCTACACAGAACCAACTGTAATTTACTGGACTTTTCCTCTTGTGCATCCCGTCATCGGTCTGGATATTTCTTCCTTTTCCATTTTGCCTCTCAAGCTTAACAGCAAATGCATTTTTCATCAAGCTGTTGGCATTTCCTCAAGCCTGGCAAACATTGCATCAGCTTTGGAAGCAGTGAAATGAGAGCTGGTAACTCTGGGTACTGAGAAGGTGCTGCCCAGGTACACCGACAATACAACATTTGATTGAAATTTGACTGAAATTGACTGAAATTTAGGGCTTTCAGCTCAGAATATCTGTGACATTTATCATCATCTGGAGTTCTACTGTAAAGTTCTGGAATTGATTATTTATGTGAGACTCAGTTTTGTGTTCTGAGTCCTTAGTGATGAAATATGAAACTAATGAAAAAAGAGAAACAATTTCTTTACTATGGCATTTTGCACTTCCATTTTTGTCCTCCAGTTCTTTATTCTGAGATATCACAGGGGAACAGAATTTAGCTTCTCAAAACAGCTTCTGCATTTAAAATAAAGTGAACTAATTGTGGAGAGGCATGGAGACTGACAGATTTGCAGATATTACATAGACAAACTCACTCCAGTTTTCTCCTGGAACTGCATTTTTTTGAGTGCTGGTGGGTTATTTGTGTGAATCGACATAACCAGCCCCTAAAATTAGTTCCAAAAATTACCCTCTAGCTTTCAGTGTGTTGAGCTCAGTGTTTTTGGGACAGGACAGACCCTGAGTGGTGCTGGCCATGCCCGAGGGGAGATGAATCCCTGCTGCAGCCAGCACAGGCTCAGTTTCAGTGCCTTCCCAGTTTCACCTCAGTGACATTTTCCTCCCAAAATACGAGGTGACTGACATGTAATCTGGCTTGACCAAAGCTCTGGGAGTGGCTCAGATCAGGAGCAGCATGTGAATTTGTCACACAGGGTGTATTCTTCCATGAGGGTGAGTAACCGGAGCAGAGGTTCACATAAGGGATAACAGGAAACTGTGACTCCGTGCCCTTTCCTACCAGAGAGGTGCTGAGCCACAGGATTCTGAAGCAAATCCTGGCATGTGCCATCTCAGGAGGCAGCCTTAACACCAGAGTCACATGTTTTTAAAGCTCTTTTCCAGACCAGAGTGCTGATGGATGTTTATTCATCACTGTCCTGCTTTGCCATGTTCCTGGCTGCCACAGGATCCTTTGGTGCCTCTTTGCCTCTCAAGACTCAGCTCACTTGTTTACGTCTTTCCCCTTCTTAGAAAGGACAAGACATTAAGTTCTGTTGACTACAAATTCTTGATTACATGTCAAACAAAAGGAGTTTCCAGTCCTGCAACACTGAGCACAAAGGTTCATCTTTGGAGTGATTATTTTTTTCCCCAACTGAATGTGACTTGGACACTTCCAAGTATTGTACTTTTCCCAGCATTGATAGTTTTACTTGAGAAACAGCAAATTTCAGTGTTCAAGGATAACCTTCTGTAAGACATTTACCACTATAGGGGGTGATTTCACATTTTCCTATTTGGTTATTGTTGTTGTTATTTGCTTGATTGTTTTGGTTTTTGGGGTTTTTTTTTTTGGTCTGGTTGGGGTTTTTTGGGGTTTTTTTGGGGTTTTTTTTTGTTTTTTTTTTTTTTTCTTTTTAAGGTAAAAATTTATTTTTACCTTATTTGCAAGACTTTGGTAACAGAATTAGTGAAAAGCTAAGTGGGAATCCTGTTAGAAGCCATTTCTCTGCAAAGCTGCCACAATGACTTCAAACCTCAGGAAAGCCTAAACACATCCTGTGCTGTCACAGCAGTGCTGTGTCTAAATGAGGGCTGTTCATAGCAGAGAAGTGAAACACCACAATTCCAGCAGCACCTGAGCACCTTCCCATCCATGAACCTGTGAGGCATCATGTTCAGAATGAGAGGGGAAACCTCGGGCTCATGCCTGTGGATAACTGGCATGCCTGCCCTCAGCCCTGGAATCAGAAAATCATAGAATCCTTCAGGCTGGAAAAAACTTTGAAGATCATCAAGTGCAACTGTTAACCAGCACTGCCAAGGCCACCACTGAACCGTGTCCCCAAGTGCCACATCCAGCAGTTTCTCCAACACTTGCAGGGCTGGTGGCTCAAGCGCTTCCCTGGGCAGCCTGTTCCAATGGCAGAGGGCGGCCAGCAGGACCAGGGCAGTG